TGCAGTGAAACAACGACACTCCAACCACTTGTGATTCTGCCACGGACGCTCCAACCAACCATTCTTTCCTATCTTTGAAACTTCCGCCACCGCCTTGTGCGGCACTACTGGGATATCAGGACATGCTGCAGGTCAAACAGAAATGCGGAGAAAACAGCGGCTGCTGAAAATCAAAATACTATAAAGGACCAAGCCAGCATAGCCAAGCAGGCAGTCATACCCATGAATTGAAGGCCCTTTTTTAGAGTGTTGTCCTTTGCGTTGCAGATTGCGGGTCTGTGCCCGACACGATGCTGCGTGTATGATCAGTCAATTAGTTGTTGTCACCTTGTTGAGATGAGCGAAGGGCCCTTGTGGATGGAATACAGCCTTGCATTGGAAGAACTGGCTTTGCTAGATAGGAACGCAACGAGACCTTAAGTTCCACTGATAGATAAAGTAGCAAAAAAAGATGCCAATGTTGCTCTTACGTGAGAAGGCCCGGCCGAAAGATCACATCGCTGCCGAGGTGCACAGGGAGAAGGACTCTCAGATCTCTATGTTGTCTATGCTGAGACAAGGCTCCGGTGTGTTGCAAAGATTCGGACCCTTCATGACCAAAGATGGGGATCACGGTTAGCAGCAATGTCACCGGGCAACCACCCATAGATGGACACATAGACTCCATCCATGAGATTCTCGGTGACGAACTTGACTGGGTGCTCACCCTTGTCTATATCAAAGGACCCCTGGGTTCCCGGTCAGAAAGCAAGACGGGGCGATATGTTTGAGCAATATGTCGCGGGAAGGCCATCAATAACTCCAGGGAAAATTTTTGACTGGATTTCAACGAGTTGGTGTCAACAGTGTTGAAGCACCGGTGAGTGGCCGTTTGCAGCACTTTGGTGGCAGGGCATGCTTGTCTTGGGGTTTTGGCAGTCCTGCCACCTTCGTATACTTTCCTCTCCGAAGGCCTGCTTCGGCATCACGGCCAACAAGCAAAGTTTTTCAGCATGTTCATTTGTGAGCACGCTTTCTTCAAGGTACTGTGAAGACTTCAAGATGCTTCAAAGTTGCACACATTTGGCAAGAGCGCAGAGACAAATCCAGCGATGGTCATGGATCTGCTTGGATTTCTACAGGTGTGCTGCCAAAGCGTGATATGCCTCGACTTGATCGCCCGCCCCCGGAAACAGGTGCAAATGTTGGATTTCCTGTTTCCGGAAACAGAAGTTGAGACGCTCGGCCAGATTCGTCGCTGCCTGGGGCAAGGTTGCTACGGCACTGTCTACGAGCTGCATCGTCCGGAGCACAGAACAGGTATGCCTTAAGTTGCTTAATTAAGCTGCCGGGTAAGCATCTTGACCGGCAACTTGTTGCACCCAAGGCAAAATTCAAACAGGTGCAGACATGCTCAGACGATTGGACCGCCCACACCCGGTTCCGCTTGAGGGCGACCTGTTGCAGCAAAGGTACCACGAGCCGGTTGTCCACTTTCTGTGGATGCCGCAGGGAAGGTCCTCGAGGTAGAATTCTTCCGGGCACAGGGCCTAAGTCTCTTGGATGAATCTGTTTAGCACCATCAAACTATGAACAGGAATTTTTCTGTGAACCTCAAGTTTGACTTTACACAATTTGCATCGTTGATGCTGCAGTAGGGTGTTTGGCTAACGTGTGCTGTTGCTGTCTCATACCGGCTTAGAGTATATTCTTCATGCCCAGAGCACCTCACATGCATGTGAGGCAATCTCGGATCATGCCAGCCATTTGGCTCACTCATCCCTCTGGAACTAATCGGCAACACGAGTGTTTGGGAGTTGGTGCCCTGTGGGATGCAGCTGTTCCACAGCTGCATGCAAGGGATCGACGTGAGGCACGGCTAGGCACGGCTTTGGCTATGTTTGTTTGCCTTGTGTCGGTGGCGAAGAGCCTCAGACACCAGGGAAACAGCTCAGAAAAAAAATGTTTGATCTTTGGATCTTGTTGGCAAGAAACCATGACGTGAAGTGTCACCAGGTAAGGAACCCTGGGCTAACAATGCGTGCAATCTGAAAATGTCACATGCTTGCTGGAATTTGCGTTTGTTTTGAGCGAGTGCTTTTGTGGATTGCACGCACCTGCAAGATGCCCGTTCTGTTTGGTCTCAGTTCCCTTTCATTTCATATGTTGTCTTCGCCACATTTTGCAAAGCTCTCATTCTCCAAATGCAGTGAACAGGAAAATAGGTTACATGGACTGTTCTAAGTATTGCAGTATGCATTTTTTAAACTTTGCGGAGCGGTTTCATGCCTTGACTGCACTGCTTTCCTGCGTGTGGCAAGTTTTACCCAAGCGCATGCTGTGCTTCGATTTTGTTGAAGGGCGTTGTTCGTTGAGAATCTTTTCTCCTGTCAAATTTTGTTCCGGGCAGGTTTCCTTCTGGAACCCTTGTTGACAGCGGTTGCCGTTGATACCTTTTCTCCCCATATCCGAAAATGGGAGTTGAAAAATTGAAAACAATGCAGTTCTGCACGATTTCTTCACAACGGAACCTGAAGAAACCGAAGTGCTGCAAACGACTCTGCCTTGCTTTCTCTGCCCTACTCTGCAATTACTCCTCAAGTTTCCGTTGCTCTTCTAGTCTCCGCTCCCCTCGCTTCCAGATGTCCCTTCTTTAGCATGCTTACGCGCTATCGAGGTGCATGCTGTACCACAAACCCTTCTGTGTTAAACTTTTATTTGAATGCGCAGTTTTGAATCCATTTAGCAGCTCCTTGTCTTAAGCAGAAAAAGGTCTTTAGTCGAGGATCCTGCAGAATTGCTTCGTTTTTGTTGTTGAATCGAGGAAATGTCGCAGAACTACTTGGTTTTTGATGTTGTCAACTGGAAAATTGAGGAAATCTCGCAGAGTTGCTTCGTTTTTTCCAAGAGCGTCTGAGCGAAGGGTTCTTCTAACAGTGGAGGTCTGCTATACATCTTCGCATGTGCACATCTTCACATCCTCACATGTTCAAACACTCACATCTTCTCATCTTCACATAAGACAAACAATATTGCTGCAGAACATTGATTTTCTTTCTATCCTATCCCAAATATTTGAAAGACAATTTTACTTTGGCAAAAATCCCAAATAGTTTCAAGTAGTTTGAAATAGTTTCAAATAGTTTCTCAGTATGGCTAATTAACAACTAGTCCGAAACCGTTTCAAACCGTTTCATCAGGAAAATTAGCTTCTGCTAGCTGATGTCCCTCTTGCTTTAGCAAGGTATTGGGGGGGATGGCATTTCCAATTGGGAGAAACTTCTCAGTTAACTACCTCCCCCTCATCCCCCCCTTCCCCCCTCCTTTCACAAGCAGTTTGGTCGTGGGCTCAACCCGTCCCGGGACACGGTCAATAACAGCACCGGCACGATCACTGGTATCCACCCTCTACACTTCACACTCTGGAGTCCACACTTTACACGCTAAACTTTACATTCCTCATCTTACATGTTACACTCCACACGCGACATCTTACACCTGTTAAAGCACTTTACACTTTAAACTCCACACTTCACACGCTAAACGTTACCCACACCTTCCACGTTACACTCCACATTCGACATGTTACACTTAACTGTTAACGCGCTGTACACTCCACACTTTACACGCTAAACTTTACACTCCATACTCTACACTCTAGCCTTTACGCTTCACACTTAACACTTCGCACTCCGGAATCCGCACCTTACACCCACGCTGTACACTTGGCACCCCACACTCTACGTTTACACGTGGCACTCACACTTTAATCTGTGCGCTTTCACACTTTACACTTTACACTTCACGTTAGACCCCCATAATTTTGCCCTTTTCACACTTGACACTGTATGGAACCTTGGCCATCCTTGGCCTAGCTCCATTGTCATGTTGCGTGCGTACATCTACTGTCGTCCTGAACTTTCGCCGCTCGCTGCGTTACTTCTTCCCACGTTTCCAAATGTCCACTCCAGTGCCGACGGTGGACCTTTGAATTTTCCCCTACACTGTGCATTTTGCGCTCCGCATTTTACACTCCACACTTTACACTTTAAACTTACACGCCACACTCTACACGCCACACTCCACACTCGACAGTTTACACTTAAATCCTGACGTAGTTTACACGCCACAGTTTACACTCTAAACTTCACTCTCCACACTTTACACCCTAATTTTTTTTTATCACACTTTACACCCCACACCCCACGCTCTACACTTTACACTTCGCATTCTACACTTGGCACTGAACACCTCTATTTTTACACGTGGCACTCACACTTTAAGGTTTACGCTTTCACACTTTTCACTGTACACTTGCCTTTAGACCCTCACCTTTGAATTTTTCACAACTGACGCTGTATGGAACCTTGGCCTTGCTCCATTTTCATGTTGCGTGCGCACATCTACCTGTCGTCATAAACAGTCGCCTTGCATTGCGTGACGTCTTCCCGCGCTTCCAAAGGTCCACTCCGGTGCCGAAGGTGGGCCTTTCAATTTTCCCGAGTTAGTTGTCATGATCTTGTCTATGCTGAATGTCCACATTTGCTTCGTTCACAAGTAGACAGCAACAATCATATTTTCTCAAAAATTGCGGTTGCACTTGTGCTACCTTCTGTGTTTCATTCCCATCGCCCTGCCAAACTAGCTTTCGTCCCTTACCCCTTGCCTCAAGTACTACTTACTAGGTAGTAACCCAAAACCATTCCAAACCGTTTCAAACCAATCCCTAGAAGACCTAACTTACATTACCTTTTTAGTTTTTTTATTCATGTATCATTCGTTGGATATTGTTTCAACAGTTTCTCAAAATTGGATTTATTTAGGGAATAGTTTCTGTAGATTACGGTGTATTAAGATGAAGCTGACGCAGTCATCGAATTGTCAAAACGAAACAGAAAACAAATGGAGCATTTGTGGGCATTGACATCATCTTCTTTCTTGTGGCCATCAACTTTCAAGGGTGGGTGCGGTAGGGACAGCTTTGTTTCATCCCTGTCTCAAGCGTAGATGGGGGGTTAGCCATGGAAAGTCAAGGAGCTAAGGATGTTTCAAGAAACGCTGGATTTGAAGATGCAGAGGTTGTAAGCTCTGGGTACAGTGTCAGTCCTGTTGCAGATGATTTGGGTCATACAGATGACATTTCACATGTTGATCCTGAACCTTTCAGGGCGTTGGATTTGCTTGGGACTGAGCAACTTTTTAGGCGTGATGTTGGTCAAGAGCCTGCAGTCGTTGCTGAGCCCGGAGCTTTGAATTTCAGTTTGAACGATCTTTTTGGAAGTGGTGAGGATGAAGCTGATTTTACTGGTTTTCAGGAGCGTGCTGAATCTGAAAGGGACTGGACTCATGTTACAGAGCCTTCAGTTCAGTCTGCAAATGATTTAGCATTTCCTGATGAAGTTGACCTTGTTGAACATGACGTTAGTGGACCAGTGGTCAGCAATTCAACCTGGAATCAATTGGTAGCTGGAAGCTTCTCACAGTTCCGTGAGCTGCCAAGTGACTTGAAGTTTCCTTGGGAGACGGGCACTATGGCGGCTGTCTTCAACTTCGATGCTGACCCGCTTCCCAGGTGCCCAGGTCTTGCAGAAGTTGTACATTCAAGTTCAGTTGAAGGTCCAGAAGTTTCGCAATCCAAATTAACTGCTTTTGCTTTACCTGATGAAGCTCAGTATGTTCATGCGGTGAAGAGCATGCGGGACATGAGTTACTTCGAGGACAAGAATCAAAAACTTGAGCTAGCATGTGCGCAGTGGTTGAATATTCTTTCAACATGTTGGAGTGCGTCTGGCATCGGTCCTCAACTTGTCAGTGCACTTCAGCAGGACAATTCAGGTGTGGAAGCTGTGACAATCCTTAAGTCTTGTTTTGGGGTAAAGAGCCCTGCAACTTTGCTGAAGCGTGCCAGTGCCTTCAGAAAGTACATGGCATGGTTTGACAAGAACCCGGCATGTCAAGAGTTGAACAAGAGTTCACTGCCGTTGGACGAGAGCTCAGTCTGGCTGTACTTCAACTGGTTGAGAGATCAACGTATTGCTTCAGCCAAAGGGTTTACAGTTCCCACATCATTCCTTGAATCAGTGCGGTTTGCCAAGTTTACAGTTGACCTCAATGGGACAGATGCGATTTTGTGCTCACGCCGCCTTTTGGGGTTTGCAGCAATCGAGCAAAGAGAGAAGGGCCCCTTGAAACAGGCACCAGGCTTGGAGCTTGAGCACATGAGGAGATTGCATCAGATCCTACAGTCTGATGGGAACATCACGGACAGACTGGGTGCAGGAGCATTTCTGGTTTGCTTGTATGGCCGTGCAAGGTGGTCAGACTTACGGTATGTCAGCCATGCCGACCTCACAGGAGATGATTTTATGACTCTGTATACAACTGAGCATAAGACTGCTAGTGTTGGACTGAAGAGGCAACAGTTTCTTCCCATTGCAGTTCCCTGGGAAGGGGTGACATCAGATTCTTGGCTACGAAACTGGCTGGAGATTTATCACCGTTGTGGGCTTGACATCAATCAGAAGCCACTTGGGCCTCTTCTGCCAGCCCCACGTTTGGATGGGACATTCTGTGCTCGACCCTTGACTACAAGTGAGGCTGCAGTTTGGCTGAGGGGGCTTCTGAAGGGTACTAGCAACTCAGAAACTTTTCGGAGTCACTCCTTGAAAGCGAGCCTTTTGCTTTGGTGTGCACGTGCTGGCCTTGACAAAGAAACACGAGCTGTTTTAGGACATCACTGCACAGCGTTGAGTGGAAGTGAAGTGGTTTATAGCCGTCAGCTGCAAACAAGGGCACTCAGGAAACTCAGTTTGATCCTCAGGCGTGTGAGGACGGGTCAAGCAATTGAGGATGATGCCATGAAAGAGTTTGGCATTGTTTCAACGCCTCTTCCTTTCACTCCTGCAGCGGCTGCTAGGACTCCTGTCGCTGTGCCACAACAGGTCATTCTGGCGAAGCCAGTTGAGCAAGGTGAAGTCGACAACTCAGGGGTGTTGAATGCTGTCAAGTTGGCCATGGACTGTGAGGACCTGCAGAGTGTCAAAGAAGAGCAGTTTGATTTGCAGACGGTTGAAGCAGCAGCTAGTGAGCTCACACTTTACCCAGTAGATGTTGTCAGTTCTGGTGTCGTTGAAATTGAATCGTCATCTGGAAGTGACAGCGACAGTTCAACCAGTGATTCTTCCAGCACCACAGAGCAGGAACCTCAGAAAGATCAGCCAAGCTTCATTGAGCATGTACCAGAAGATTTTGATTTTTATCGTCATGCCAAAAGCGGCATTTTGCATGCGTGCAAGCTGAGTGAGTCTGTGAGCAAATGTAAGCTCAGCATGAATGCAAATTTCCGAAAGCTTGGCAGAAGTTTCACTTTTAGATACCACAAGTGTCTCAGGTGTTTTCCAAAGGATAACAATAGGATTCGGAGTGTCGATGCGTTGGCGAGTGCACTTGACGCTTCTGTCAAAAGGGCCAGAAACTCAGCCTCTCACAGCTAAAGAAAGTTGTTGCTTTCCCAAAGGGGATGACTTGCAGCGTCCGAACCTTGAGAAAAATTGCAGCAGAGGCTGATTTGCAAGAGTTGGAATTTCAAGCGGAAAGCCGTCTTGAACATAAACAGTGTTTCCAGAGAGCTGGCAAGTTTTGTGCAACGGCACATCAAAGGAGTTTCAGTTTGAATTCATTGACCAGATAGCTGGCTTGTTCAATGAGTGAGATGCATCAGAACCTTTTGGCTAAAGAGCCGCGTCAGCACACAGGAGAAGTCCGAGCATCTCACACACAAGCAGAAGTTCAGATTTATTAGTTGTTGTGCTTGCATTCATTGAGACTTGATTTACTTGACTTAGGAATCTGACACAGGAACTTGTTGAGGACAATGTGCATGTGATGTGCGATTCAGGTTTTAAGTTCTGTGCGTTTGAGTTTTGCTGTTCCTTTGTTTTTCCACTTGTTTTCACCTAGGGAGACTGGAATTTGCAGCCATGTCTTCCTTGATAGATAGCACTGCTCAATTTGAGTCGCAGATGCGGGAGCTGGGCATACAACAGACATTGCTTGATGGGCTCAAACAGCATGGGGTACGAACCCTATCACAGCTTGCATTCTCTGTGGGTCAGCCTGGACAACCCATCTTGGATCAGAGCGTTGAAGCATTGGTACAAGCCGCTGTAGGCCGTGCTCCAAGCCTCACAGAGGCTGCTTGCTTGAAAAGATTGGCATTCGAGGCGCAGACATACTTGACTGCAACACTGAGACAGGCAGTTGACAGATCAGAAGACGCGGTGCCGCGCAAAGTGCCAATGGCTGAGCGATCGACCAGAATGGATGCCTTGAAAGCAGCTCTGGGAGGACTGGATATCTCTGGGGAGCACGAGCCTGCACATAGCTTATTAGACAAGTGCTGTGCAATGTTTGAGCAGAACAGCATCAAGTATGTGGAGCCGTCAGCCTGCATATCCAGGTCATTTGAAGTTCAAGGGTCAGAGAAAAAGAACCGTGAACTGACCTTGGAGCGTGGGTCCCTAATCCTGAGGAACTCTGATGACCGTTTGAATAGCCCAACTGATTCAGAGATCAAATTGCACTATGCGATGGTGCGCAGGGGCTTGGCTTTTGAGTTTGCCAAGCTCATGAGTTTCTCTCAGCATTCCCAATGGGAGAAGTTCCTTTTTGAGGCGGTTCATCGTGAAACACCTCCAGGATTTACTCGGCCTTCCTTGCTCCAGATCGTTCAGTGCGACAAAGCGGCCTTTAGTCGATTGGGGAGCACGATGACGTCCATTCGACAGCGTGGTGATGGTTCGTATCCTCTTGGTGAAGAGCTCCTCAATCTCAGGTCGGATCCTCATATTGCCTTGTACCTGATGCCCTCAGCTAAGCAGTCTTCCACTTCGACTGCATCCAGCCATCAAGGACCACGGGCACATCCATACAGTTCTGGAGGGCAAACAGCCAAAGGAAAGGGAGGTGGAAAGAGCAAGTCAAAGCAGAAGAGCTCACCGCCAATCCCCTCTGAATTGAGGGGGAAGTGGCACAAGACCCCTTCGGGGGATCCAATATGTTTTGGTTTCAACTGCCGTAGTGGCTGTGCCGAGAAAGGGATTCAGCCTGGACAACGTTGTTCCAAAGGATTTCACGTTTGTGCTGAACCTCGATGTCAGGGCGAGCACAGTTTACAGCAGCATGCGTCGAAATGACAGCTTTCCAAATCCATTGCCTATAGAGATTGGTCCAATGTGCATGTTGAGCAGTGTTTCATGTTAGAAATATTTGCAGGCATGGCAGTACTTTGTGCAACGAGCAAATCAGCTGGCCTTGCAAATTCTATCGCGGTGGACAAGATTCGTAAGAGATCATGTCGTTCATCAATTTTCCAACTTGATTTACTGAAACAGCGTGACAGAGAGATCTTGGAGCAATGGATGGTATCACCATTACTTTTATGGATACACCTGGCACCTGTTTGTGGAACTGCAAGCAGAGCCAGAGATATCAGAAGGTTTGCAAACGATCCCAAGCCCTTGCGTTCAAATGAATGTCCAGAGGGACGCCCTGACCTTTCTGAAACTGACAAGCGCAGAGTTGGTATCGCAAACAACCTTTTTCAATATGCATGCTTTCTCTTTTTGCTGGCCTCCCAAATGGGAATTCTGGCGACCATGGAAAATCCGAGGAACAGTTATTTCTGGATTACATGTTGGGTCCTACAGTTGATGCTGCAAGTGGAGGTGTATGTTGCCGATTTTCAGGTTTGCATGTTGGGTGGCAGTCGAGACAAGTGGACGAGGATCATTGCAAATTTTCCGGCAGTTCAATCTTTGAATATCAAGTGTGACCACAGCCACACTCACTTGCCTTGGGGGTTTGCCAAGGATGACACAGGAAAGCAAGTATGGGCAACCTCCCTGGAGTCTCAATATCCAAGGAAGATGTGTGTGGCATTAATCAATGTTGTTTTACAGTTTGCGGCTGAAAGAGGTCTTCAACTACGTGCGCATTCGCTGTTGGATGATACAAATCCTTTGTTGACTATGCAACAAGCGCAAATTGGCGCTCAACAACAGCCCAGACCGTCAAGGGTTCTTCCAATAGTGCCCGACTTCTCCAGTGTGGCAGTTTTTCTTGTCCACACTCTTGCGGATGTGCCATGTAGTTTGTTGTCAAAGCTCCCCACTGACGTCCACTTGCATACAAAAACTGGTGTTTTGCAGGTAGTTCCAAAGTACAGTCGTTTTTTGCGATTTACTGCATTGTCTGCCCCATTGGAAGGGGGTGAGTCAAGGGGGCATACAAATTTTCAGTACGAGGTGGCTTTTGGTTTGCCATGGTCCTATGCGGAGTTCATCAAGAAAGCTTGTCATGTGGGACACCCAGCTTTGAAAACTTCTGGGATTCCAGATGAATTGTTGGAGACGGTCAGAGTCAACGTGCAGTGGTCAGAAGAACAGATCGCAAGATACCGCATTGACTGGTGTCGAAGGTGGATGAAACGTGCGGCTGAACTGGAAGCCAAAGAGCAACAGTCCCTGCTTACAAGACACCCCAATGTTGCCGCCTTGACTGCAGGAAAGAGAGCCCTGCTCATGCGTGAGATGCTGGAAGACATTGGGTACAAAGATTGTCAGGTGGTTGACATTTTAACTGAAGGAGCAAGTTTGGCTGGGGAGATTGCCTCCTCCCCTATCTTTGAGTCGCAGTTCAAGCCTTGCCTGGCGACTCTTTCTCAGTTGGAGGTGGATGCCGGAAAGCGAAACGAGGTCATCATGAACATGACAAAAAGTTCTGGCTCCGAGGAAACAGACAGACAGCTGCTTGAAGAGACGCGTTTAGAAGTGGAGAAGGGCTGGGCGGAAGGCCCTATTCCTTTTGAAAGTGTGGCTGCTGGATCGGTCATCTCACGTCGCTTCCCGCTGATACAAGGTAGCAAAACAAGAATGATAGACGATTACAGCATCAGTGGGGTCAACGACAGCTGTGTTATAAACAACAAACTGGATCTTCATATCATTGATACCTTTTGTGCTTTGGTGAGAAGTTTTTTCTTGGGCTGTGGAGCCATTGGCAAGGATTGCAGTTTGGTCGCAAAGACCTATGACCTCAAGAGTGCATATCGTCAAGTCCCTGTCCATCCAGCCCATTACAAATACGCCTTTGTGAGCGTTTACAACTGTGAAAGGGACTGTGCTGAAGTTTACATGATGAAAACCATGCCTTTTGGGGCAACTCACAGTGTTTACAATTTTCTCCGGTTGGCAAAGGCTTTGCATGCGATAGCAGCAACTGGTCTCCTGCTGCTAACAACCAATTTCTATGATGATTTTGTCCTGGCTTCCCAACCTTGTCTCAAGGAATCGGGAAAGAACAGTATGGAAATGCTTTTCCTTTTGACTGGATGGGACTACGCTGTGGATGGTCGCAAAGCAACTGAGTTTGGAACAATTTGCAAAGCGCTTGGGGTCGCTTTTGACTTCAGCGCCTCGCACCAGCGTATCCTGCAGGTCAACAACACTGAGTCGCGAAAAGAGGAGCTGATTCAACAAATCACTTCTGCGCTCTCCTCGGGCGTGTTGGACAAACAGACATGCCTGGCTTTACGTGGACGTCTTGGTTTTGCTGACAGTTTTATTCACGGGAGGTTGGGAAAATTGGTTTTGAAAAGACTGTCGGACCATGCTTATGGGTCCACCCGACGTTTGGATGATGATCTGAGACTGGCCCTTAAAGCAATGGCGCAACGTTTAAGACATGCTGGGCCCCGCTTGGTTACAGCTGAGCAATGCAAACAATGGTACATGTATACAGATGCGAGTTTTGAATCTGAACAAAGTTTTGGTTGCTTGGGAGGTGTGCTGGTGGATGAGAGCGGAACAGTTTGTTCGTGGTTCAGTGCATTTGTCGACTGCGACATGTGCAAACAACTTGGAGCTGCAGAGAAGGGAACAATAATCTACGAGCTGGAGCTTTTAGCAACGGTGGTGGCGACGGACCTTTGGTATGAAGACAGTAGCACGGACCTCCACGTGCATTTTGGTGACAATGATGGGGTGCGTTTTTCCCTCATCAGAGCGTGTGGTGCTGGTGAAGTGGCCCAAAGTTTGATGGGCTACTACTTGCAGTTGGAAACCAGAAAGTGCTCTCGGACATGGTTTGCACGTGTCCCAACAGAGGCTAATGTCAGCGACTTTCCATCAAGAAGACAAGCACACTACTTGTTGGAACCCGGGCTTGATGCGTCAGTGAATGCGGTTGAGAAACTCCAGAAGATTTTGCTGGAAATCAGAGCTGGTGGTCTGCAACATTTAAAAAGGGGGAAGCCAGATGTTACGACCCCCAGTCAAAAAGAGTGTGAGCCAGCTGACTTCTTGTGATGCAATGCCTCAGTTGAGTTGACGATGAAGCTGACGCAGTCATCGAATTGTCAAAACGAAACAGAAAACAAATGGAGCATTTGTGGGCATTGACATCATCTTCTTTCTTGTGGCCATCAACTTTCAAGGGTGGGTGCGGTAGGGACAGCTTTGTTTCATCCCTGTCTCAAGCGCCCGCCCACAAACCACCCAACTTGAGACAGTCATAAAGTTCCTCTTCGCTGGACGAAACCAAGTACATCAAAGGATGTTCACTTAGCCTAGCCCAACCGTTCAGCCAGATGTTACGACCCCCAGTCAAAAAGAGTGTGAGCCAGCTGACTTCTTGTGATGCAATGCCTCAGTTGAGTTGACAAATAATTTCAGGCCTCCACAAAGAGGCCAAGGCACTTCCCAAATCATCCCCGGGCCATGTAAAAGCGCTGCATGAAGGAACCAGATCAGTAAATGAAAAAGAAAGGCAGCACAAAAAACCAACCAACCTTGACAACGACGCCCAAAAAGGTTCAATAGGGAACAACTCGGTAAAAAATATGACCTTCTAAACCAAATCTAACCAAACTCCAATGTCTCGCTCTGAGAACAATGCGCTTGCGTGTCATTTTGCCATCCAGTGCGACTCCCATGTGATAGTGATCGCCATCAAATTGCCACAGAGGAAAATATTGGTGTACATCCGTGCAGCTGGGTAAAATATTTTGTTCAGGAACATAACACCTGCGGTGTAATCCACAGATTATGTTATCAAGGACAAATTTGGGTGCTCTGCCATCCGAATGGCAAGACACCCTTTGGGCATCTTGTACTGATCCTTCAAACAAGAAAACCGAAACAATTTGACCGATGGATACCACGTTGAAATCTACAGCACGCCTTCCAGCAATGAAGGATTTCATTTTTTTTTCTCCCCGGATTTGGCCTTAGCATTAAACTCGGTCCTTTGTACGGACACAGGACACAGTTTTTTTGGTTGCCTTGTTCGCAACATATATCTGTGCGAAAATACGAACTTTCTGCTAGTCAGACATGAAAACGTGTTCCTCTACGATCAAAGAATTTGTTTAATTCTTGTATTTTCCGTGTTGTTGCTGTGTTCAAGCTTTGACAAACATTGCTTGGCACGTGGCAGATGGAATTGCACCACAAAACATGACATGTTTATCTTCAAAACACCGTCGATTTTATTGGATATGACTATGAAATCTAGTTATCACAACTGAATGGAAATAGAACTAGTTTTTTTTCGAGGTGACAGTGACAGCAACCTAATTACTTATTTGGCATCTAGAAGAAAACAACAACATTTTGGACAGGTACTGTTCTTTCGTCCAATGGCAAGCTTTGAATGTGCCTCAATTCGCACTCTTTTGACCGTTTGTTTTTGGTTGGGTTTCAGTGGAATTATCGTTGGAACGTCAATTTCCTCGTCTGTGTTTGGTGTATACTGGTGTTGTAAGGCAACATTTGCCTTGAGCAAGCATCTGAGCCTGTGGTGACAAGATGCGGACGTGAACTTAGCGTGGAATGGGACCTCATTTTTTTTGATAGCGTTTTGGTGGTACAGATGCAAATCGTAATCGTAATTACAATATTTTTCCTGTTTGCTCTCTCTCTCTCTCTCTATATATATATAAATATCACTGCAATCATGATTGTGACCCTGGATATGATTCTGTTTAATGTGTTGATGCAGTTGATTCTGTTGATGCTGATGTTGTTGCTGATGTTGCTGCTGATATTGCTGCTGATGTTGCTGCTGATGTTGCTGCTGATGTTGCTGCTGATGTTGCTGCTGATGTTGCTGCTATGTTGCTGCTATGTTGCTGCTATGTTGCTGCTATGTTGCTGCTACTGCATGATGATGATGATGATGATGATGGTGGTGGTGGTGGTGGTGGTGATGATGATATCAAGATGATACCGACCAGAACGAGGAAAGAAGAGGAGGAAGAAGACAAACGACCACACCCCACCCTGATGTCCACGATGGGTTTGGACGTTGATCATGATAGGGGGATTGTATTGGCTGGGGGGACGTCGTCCTTGTTGTTTCTGCTTGGCTAGCTTTCCTTTGTCCCAGTGGTGCATGTCATTGTTAATGTCTTCTTGGTCCTTGTTGGAGTTGAGCGCGTAGCTGCGGCACTGTTCGCTGTGATTCTTCGATTGTGACCCTGCGAACACCGCCTAAGACTGCTCAGACACTGCTGCTGCCACAAAAAGGTGGAATATTCACGGTTTGATAAGGATGCCGATGATGAATTCAGAATTTGTCACAGTGATGCTAGTGGTGGTTGTTCTTCTCCCAGGTGTGGACACTGGTGCTGGATACTGATGCTGCCAACGTTTCTGCTATGCATTGTTGCCATGTGTTGTCGTTGTCGTTGTCGTGGTCGTGGTCGTGGTGGTCGTAGTGGTCGTGGTCGTGGTTGTGGTTGTGGTTGTGGTTATGGTTGTGGTTGTGGCTGTGGTGGCTGTGGTGGTCGTGGTGGCTGCGGTGGCTGTTGCTGTTGCTGTTGCTGTTGCCGTTGCCGTTGCCGTTGCCGTTGCCGTTGCCGTTGCCGTTGCCGTTGCCGTTGGGGTTGTTGTTGTTGTTGTTGTTCTTGTTCTTCTTGTTCTTCTTGTTCTTGTTGTTCTTGTTGTTCTTGTTGTTCTTGTTGTTGTTGTTGTTGTTGTTGTTGTTGTTGTTGTTGTTGGTGTTGGTGTTGGTGTTGGTGTTGTTGTGGAGAAGTAACAGTAGAGTCATGCATTTTTTCAAGATGTCATTGATCAGTTCTGGTTGTCTCATTGTCTTTCTTTGTTGTGGTAATGTTGGTAGTGCTGCTGCTGCAGCTGTTTGCTGCTTGACTGCATCGCAGATGTTGGAAGGCATTGCACAAATCAATTCACATTGATGCCAGCCCTTACCCAGCGTTCGCAGAAATTTTCAGGCCACTTATTCTGCTGGGCATGTCTGCACCAGTGGCTCAATGCAACCACAGCCGGTGAAGAGGCCAACAACTTGATGACTTGTCATCACTTGTCATCACCTTGAGCAGTGGTCAGTTTTTTTTTTCCCAAGGCTCATCGTGCCTCCCAAATGTCGCCCAGCAGCTCGCTCTCCAGACTTGTTAATAAACAGTTGAACTGTTTCCTTTGCTGAGACTTTGATTGAGAGATTCGCCATGCTGCCAGGAGCAGGGGGAAAACTACCTCGGCATGTCCCATTTGTAAGGCAGTGATGCTGCAATGCTTGAGACTTCAATTTGCATAGGCAAAGACCTCCTTGTTCTGCACTTGATTTTTCAAGGCATCGGTGACAATTCAGAATGTGATCCCTGTCTACACCCGAAGCAACCAGAGTGATCCGCGGAATTCGTGCGCAGCGAACTCTTGTTGGCGGATGCCAGTGAATGGAGCATATACAATAATGATTAATAATGCGAATTTGGACTAACAAGATTTGTGGGTGTTTTGAAAAAAATGAAGGTAGCATTTTGAGCAGTCAATGATCCGGGGTTGGAGGAGTTTTGTACTGAGCTCACAGGTATCCGAATCTTCCTTCAAGGCCTCCAGGTGAGCGACCTGAACCGGAACCTGCGTCAGTGCCCTGCATCCGCTGCAGCTCAGGTCATCAAAACTGCTCGTGTTGGGTGCAACATGGTACAACACGGTGCTATGTGGTGCATTTTGTAGTGTTCGACCCTTTGCAAGCAAGTTTTTTTTTGCCAAAGCGTAAAATGAAAGGTTGTGCCAAGAAGTGTAGCACAGATTTGCCGTCGATTCAGGTACTTGCGTTGCAAGCGTTTCAAAACGGTGGCATTCCAGAGTTGGCTCCATAGACACTAGAGCCTTTGAGCTCAATATGTAGAAATACCAAAGTTGGAGTTTTGATGACACGCGATGCCATGAGGTCATATGGCTACACGTCTGGACAGGGCTACTTTCCAGTCATCTTTGGCCTCAATTGGCAAGGTGCATCTCTTTTGGAAGCGTGGAAGCCTTAGGGAAAGTACCTGGAATATTGATATTCTGCATATTGAGAACATAATATACACTATATATATACATATTAGTGTATCTATATCTATATTTATACCTATATCTATAGCTATATCTATATCTATATCTATATCTTATATATATATATGTATCTATATTTGTTTATATTGTTTAGATTTGTTGATATTTGTTCACGTTTACCTAAATTTATCTATCTATTTATCAATGAATCTATCTATCTATCTATCTACCTACCTATCTATCTATCTACCTATCTATCTATCTATCTTTCTATCTATCTATCTATCTAAATTTAATTCTATCTATCTATCTATCTATCTATTTATCTATCAAATCCTATCAAATCCCATCAAATCCTGTCAAATCCTATCCTATCCTATCTATCTTATTTATCTTATCTATCTTATCTATCATATCTATCTAATCTATCTAGTCTGTCTAATCTATCTAATCTATCTAATCTATATCTAATCTATCTAATCTATTTAATCTATCTAATCTATCAAATCTATCAAATCTATCAAATCTATCAGATCTATCAAATCTATCTAATCTATCTAAGCTATCTAAGCTATCTAATCTATCTAATGTATCTAATGTATCTAATCTATCTACTCTATCTAATCTATCTAATCTATCTAATCTATCTAATCTATCTAATCTATCTAATCTATCTAATCTATCTGATCTATCTAATCTATCTAATCTATCTAATCTGTCTGTCTGTCTGTCTGTCTGTCTGTCTGTCTGTCTGTCTGTCTGTCTGTCTGTCTGCCTCTCTGCCTCTCTGCCTATTTGTTTGTCTTTTTGTGTGTCTATCTGTTTGTCTATCTATTTGCCAACTTGTCTGTCTATCTCTCTGTCTATCTATCTATCTATCTGTCTATCTATCTATCTATCTGTCTGTCTATCTATCTATCTATCTATCTATCTATGTATGTATCTATGTATCTATGTAACCTATGTAATCTATGTAATCTATGTAGTCTATGTAATCTATGTAATCTATGTAATCTATGTAATCTATGTAATCTATGTAATCTAATCTAATCTAATCTAGTCTAGTCTAATCTAATCTAATCTAATCTATCTAAGTTGAAATATACCGACCCCTGAGCCCCACTATGTATAGCATAGGTAGTAGGTCTTATGTAGAGCATTGCCATTGCTATGAGTACCAATGTAGTTCCAAGTAGATACACCCGAATGTACAAATGCACCTCCTATCTAATTGCAGTAGATAGGTAGAGAGCCAGAGCTAGAAGTAGGTAGTCTTAGTATCCCAACAACTACCGGGGTATAATTAATAGATTACGCTGCTGACGCAATGGCTCAAGTGCCTGCCAAAAGGGCGCTTGTTTGTTGATGTTTTGTTGCAGGGTTTGCCGGATTAGTTTCCCCCTTTTCTTTTGGGTGGCTGGTTCGACCCCCTGTTTGACTATCTATCTATTTATCTATCTTCCCCTCTCTCTCTCTCTCGGTCAAAACATAGACCATGCATATATGTATATACAATACAAACATAAGCATAGAGTCATTCATATATTTATACAAACTTTCCTTCTTCTCACTTGCACATTAATGTTTCTCCTTCGTTGCTTTTTAATTTGCTGGCATGTGGATATCCAGGTTGCGTGCTTTTATAGCGACCTTTGCACACATAGACTTGTCGCAGTGGTAGCTATGTGATTTGGTCCATTCCTTGGTGCTGCGTCGACTTCCATCGTTGCCAAGACCATCTACGTCAAAGACTCTGTCCTATGCATTGCTAGGTCCGGCCCCCGTCAAACAGGTATTTGTTTGACCTGCAAAGTGCTCAATGTTACCAAGGACTCTCTTTTCTATACTTCTTGATTCTGTTCATGCTCTGACTTGAAGATTCACAAGTCTCTTCGGCTGAAGATTGCAACCCGCTTAACAATTTTAAGGCATTTCACGCGGGAATTTGGGAAGCAGACATAGCTTCAGTTGGGCTGAATCCGGTGAAATGCTCGGATACTGCCCGGCAGTGCTAGTCGTAACGAGCTTGCGAGTCAAACAGGGACCTGCATGCTCATGCTGGGACAAAAAATTGGTGTCTTTCTGCTTTAGCAGCATTGAAACAGGAGCTGTTTGCTGCGATGTCAAACATCAGGATTCACCATCTCATCCACACCTTTTCTGGGTGCGATCGGGACCCATATTGCTCAAGCCGAAATGAAACGGCATCGAATGTAGAACGGCAAGAAGCCTAAAACAATATAGATCTGTTTAGTTTCTCAGTATAGTTCATTATAGCATGCCAGGCCCTGAGTGGTGTCGTAGTGAGCCTCCTTAGTCATGGTATATCATTCAGTCATTCCGAACATTGTTCAGGTCAGAGGAAGAGCTGGACCACTTCGGTGTCTCAGCTTCACAGCTTCAGATTGATTTGATTCACACTCTCTGTAAATAGTATGTATAGAATCCCCGCAAAAAGATACAGAACACAGGATTTCTTCATGAATTTAGTAGGATTTCATTTTCTTGCAACATTTTTTTGTTTTCTATGCGTTGTTTTAATTTCAGATGTGACATCCTTGACTCACTGCCGGTTCCATCAGCATGCAGTATTTACAAAACACCTTGTTTTGTCAGCATGGTGCACGTCCGGTGTCAGGGTTATCCTTTCCTCCTGGCTTGATAGACATGGAGGCTTGATACTGTCACTGAGCATACTGAGCCCACTCTTTTCGCTGAAATTTTCGACAAAACGTTGGAGTCTCCATGTGCAGGACTGGAGCCTCCATGGGTATATGGGATTTTCTCGGCCACCTCCTGGATTGCCAAGGCGGGGGGGTTCCAGCATTGAAGGGGTCTAGGGCGGCCCGAATGGACTGTTCCAAGCTGCAGGCCGTGGCTATTGCGACAGAGCGGCCCTCAGCACTCACATTTCATCGGTAGTCTTCAACAATCCGAATCCCAATTGTTATTATAAATCCTCCATCTTTTGACCACTTGACATGATACAGTCAAGGACTGTAGCTTGTTTACTGATCTCTATTGTTGTTGATGAATTAATTTCGGATTGGATATGGTACAATGAACCCAGGCAAAGCTCGTCGCCAGTGCCAGAGGCTGCGGTTGGCGCCTCAGTGCTGTGTGGCTCGAGATCAAGGAACCCCCCAAGCATGAAGGGTTTAAGGTGGTTTGAAAGAAACCATTAAACAAACAATCACCAAAAAAATGAAGTTCAAGTAATTGAAGTTGGCACTTGTGCGGCATATCTCTACCAGGCGCCCCAGGCTTTCCTGACAACTACGCCACCATTGCCTGGATCAACAGTTTCGCTGGGGGCCCAGGCATAGTCATAGTCTATCGTCACAGCACAGCTTTCCCGGATCCATGGGGAATGGGTGTGATTCTACGCTCGATTCTGCTTCTCAGGAAAGCAGATCCCCAGTATCTGAGCTTGAATGCTTGGGGTCCACACCGGCGCTAGGTGCTCAGCTCCAATTGAAGCGTATTGAAGCTCTCTTTCAGCTTCTGCATTCGAGACCAAGGATGCGACGTGCCCTTGCAAGCGCTGGGAATCCCTATGGGTGATGACGCCAGGTGCCGCCTCTGAAAGCCAAAGCTTACATTTTGCCAGGCTGCAACCGCCAGGTCTCATTACATTCTTGTGGTAAATTATGGATGTCCTTGGATCAAGACAGACCCCACAGGTGATCTCACAGGGTTCCATGACGCGACAGGTCTTCGCCAGATGTCCGACCGCTGTGCCCGCAGCCGCGTCGTGCCTTTGACGTCGCATTCTGCGAGTCGGTGCCTGAATGGATCTCCTGGTGACTGGGGGAAGGTGCCATTTCTCGTGGTAATTCAATGTATTTCAATGTACTGTAAGAATTCACTTGTTGGGGGTGCACCCCAATTCATCAACCAGGCCCTAATCTGGGATGAACATAAGCAGCAAAAACAGCATAAAGTCAAGAATTTAGTACAAGTCAGCGCGTCATTGATGTGGCAAACATGAACAGGAGAGGCATCAAAAAAAACAAATAGGGATCAAAACAAAACAAACAAAGATCAAAAAAAACAAAACGAGAAAGGAAGGAAGGAAGGGGCAGGAAGGAAGGAAGGAAGGAAGGAAGGAAGGAAGCAAGCAAGCAAGCAAGCAAGCAAGGAAGGAAGGAAGGAAGGAAGCAAGCAAGCAAGCAAGCAAGGAAGGAAGGAAGCAAGCAAGCAAGCAAGCAAGGAAGGAAGGAAGGAAGGAACCCAATCTCCCCCTCCCGATCTTTTATATCTAAACCCAAGTTACATTAGTTGGGGTTTGAAATTCTGATGACCACTTTTATGTTTTGATCCTTTCACTGTTGACGTTCATCGCCTTGATGGCTCATAGGGTGGGAACGCATGCAACTTCATGGCGAGCTGGTGAAAAGGTCGCACTGTGTCGTCGGTGACAGATCCAGGATCCCAAGCTCCACAATCGCATTGCTTGAGTAGGCATACTTCTGTCTTTGACTTTGGTGGTGGCCCTGAGACTGACATCAATGCAGCCGACAAAGAGGCATCTCTGAGCTCTTTGTCTAAGTCTATGACGTCCTCTCGGCGTCGGCGCGGTGGTCGAGGCTCGGGTCATGGGAAGAAATGGCGGTCTGGCCACATACCACCTCCTCCTGGTTTCTCTGGTGACATTGAGAATGACCCTTTTTGCCTGAGACACTACAAGAGGGCTTTCAAGCGGTGGACCACCATCACATGTGAATATCTGCCGAAGAATGAGCAGGCCTTGAGGGCACTCGACGCCCTCACAGGCGACGCTGCTTTGGAACTTGAAGAGATTGAAGATAGCAGATACAATGTAGACAATGGAATTGACCTTTTGCTTCAGGACTTGAGTGAGTCTTTTGGTGAGAAGGAGATTTTCCGCAAGGGCGGCCTGATCCGAGAGTTTGAATCAATGGTTAGAGTGCAAGGTGAATCTGTGACAGCCTTCGTGAGACGCTTCCGTCTCATGGAGCGGAAACTCAAGGATGCCAAGATTCCTCAGTATCCCAGCGAGACCAGAGCAGTGAAGCTTTTGGATGGGCTCAAGCTGGATGAGCGTGCAACCTCTCAACTTCTTCTTGCAGCTGGAAATCGCTATGAGTTTCAGGCCTTGGTGGATGCCATTCGTGTCCAATATCCACCTGGTTTGACACTTACAGACCTTGCGAGAAATGGGCTGACCTTGTCTGGTTTTGGTCGTGCTTCCTCATCCAGTTCAATGCCTGGCAGATCTCGTGGTCGAGGCACCTCAGTGAGCTCTTTCAGAAGCCGCGGCGCGTCACGTGCTGGGTCATCGAAATGGAAGTCATGGACTGCTGACGCTCTTGATGAGGGCTTAGATGACCATGAAACCTACATGACTGCCGTTGAGGAGAACAGGGATGATGGCGAATGGAATGATGAGAATGGTTTTGACTATCAGTATGACGAAGAAGATGGAGAAGGAGATCAACCCACTGATGATCCACCAGCTGGTGATGGAGAAGCGCCTCAAGCTGATGGAGATGATGTCCAAGGAGATCATCAAGCTCTGGCTGCCACCAGCAAAAGACTTGCTTCTGCTGTCCAGTCCCGCGGCTACTACAACACTGCGGCCAAGGGAAAGAACAAGGGCACTGTCTCTGGCGGCAAGGGCAAGGACAAGGGTCAAGCAAAGAAGTCGGTTTCTTTTAGTCAAAACCCTGGTAAGAATCAGATGAACCCCAATAAGGGTAAGGGAAAAGGTGTCACAGGTAAGACTACTGGAAAGGGTTTGGGCAGTCAACTCACGACCGTCCAGCGTCAGCGTCTGGAATCCAGCCTTTGCATCGGTTGTGGCGCAGCTGACCATTGGCTTCGAGATTGCCCCAACGTGTCGCAGCACCAGGCACACATTTGCTCTTCACAAACTACCTTGGATGGCGAGGGTGCTGTGGTGTGGATGGTCAACCAAGATGAGCCATCCCAGCCTACCAGTTCAGGCACTTTGGAGTTGAACGGCAACTTGGGCAACTACGCCGATGGTCGTGTGAGTCTTGGTGAGCGCACTGATCTGCGCACGGATGGTGATCCTCTTTGTCAAGATGCTGCGAAACCTGATGCTCCACAAGGTGACTCTCCGAGACACTGGAGCCCAACGGCTTCCGAGTTGTCCAACATCATGGCATGTCTGTCACCAAGGCCGGGTTCTGATGCTGGAGCTGTGAACCCAGACGATTTTGCAGATCAGCGCATGGCTGATGACCTTTTCCGTGATGAGATGGCAAACATTGGATGTCAGCAAAGCCCTGCTTCTGATGTAGGTTTTTCACCCACCAGTAGCATAGCTTTATGTTTGTCACCTAGGCAGAATTCAGATTTTGGTGATTTGAATCCAGATGATTGGCGCGATCATCTTGAAAGCACAAGTTTCTTTCAAGAGGCCTATGCTTCCACTGATTGGCAGGACCCAGATGTCGTAGCTGCTTTGAATCGTGCGCAGAGCATAGCTTTTGACTGCCAGCGCGATTTGTACAGGCCAGTTTTCTGTGACCATGAGACTCAAGAACAAACAATAACGGGAGAGGACCCCAGGACCTCAAGAGCCCTTGTTGAAAATCAAAAGAACTTTCAAAATGAAAAGATGGGCCAACAAGAACAGGGCGAAGACCTAAGAACCTCAAAAAGTAGGAAGACGGCCGAAGGGTCGAACCAAGGAGATGTAGGTGTAGGATCATTGACCCTAGCCTCACAGGCTCCCTCGTCCAGTTCTTTAGATCGTCGCCGTAGCTCAGCCATGGATGAGTGTCAGCTTCCATTGAGGCCAGCCGTGAAGTCCAAGGGCAAAGGCAAGTCTCATGGGGAGCAATTTGAGTCCGAGGGCAAGGGCAAGTTTCATGGAAAGCAATTGAATGAGTTCTCCACTGTTTTGATGCTTAGCTCTTCACCGGAACCATCGAGTGAGAGAGATGCCATAGATTTGAACAGCAAGTGCCCCATTTTTAAGGCACCACAACTTCTTGTGCAGTACTCTGATGAACCTTGTTTGGTCATCGTTGACACTGGATGTCAGAGACAGGTAGCAGGCCGAGAATGGCATGATTCTCACACACAGAATCTGGAGCTTCCGCGCTTGGCCTTCAAGGAAAGATGTCAGTTTCGCTTTGGGCCCAGCAATGGTTCCAGTTCATGTGAGAGGTTTGCGTATCCATCAGGCTTAGGTCATAACTTTGTCGTGATGTTTTTCTCATGTGTGGATGCTGACGCACCTGCTTTGATGTCGAGACAAACTTTGACACGATTGGATGCAGTGCCAGATATCACATCGGGTAAGATTCACTATCGTGCATTGGGTGCTACCTCACCTTTGTATCTTAGCAGTTGTGGTCATCTTGCTGTTTGCATTGATGAGTGGCCTTCACATATGCCAGAATGGCCTTGTCACATGGATGTCAATCGAGCAAGTTTACCAGACATTTGGGCACCTTCGGCTATGCTTGTTCAGGCTCAAGAGCTACCAAGTGCCCGACATCCTGCTGTGAGTCCACCTGGCTATGCAGAGAGCTCCGCCAGCATGGCTCCGGCATTGGCGTCACATGATGATGAGGTTGATGACTTTCATCAACCAAGTGTGCAAGTCAGTTCTGTTCTATGCGGCCACAAGCATGAAGCACGGCATTCGAGACAAGATCTTGAAGCATTTCATGATACCATCGACGGCCACGACTATGCAAACCACTTTGGCAGCCATGACCGTTCAGTCCTCTCTGAACCAGTCCAAGTACCAGAAGAACCCTCAAGAGTGTTCGCATCCGAACGGGCTCAGGTCCTACGGAGCGGCGGGGCACTCAATCAAGATATGCGATCTGTGCGGTTTCAGGGGAACTGTGAAGAATGGCCAACTACATGCTCTACAACCAAAGGCAGGCCCACAGGCCAAAACACCTCTGGGGCTTCCAAAAGGCAAAGCCAAAGCCAAAAGCCGCATTTCGGCCAGCTCAGAACCTTTACGTATCTTCTGGTTGGGCACCCTACTTGCATTCGTCTCCGGACTTTTCCTTGGCACCACCACCGTCGAGGACCTCGAGGTTGAGCCCCCAGCTGCAGCAGCAGGTGGAGTTGGAAGTGCAACAGCGACTCCTTCAGGCTATGCCGAGGTCAAGCATCCCAGTCTCGAGGCAGGATGTGGAGACTTCTTCGAACCGGAGTTGGACGTGGTGGGCGCAAGAGGAAGAAGTGGAGCCAGAATTCCCCGAGGAGTGGTTGGAGGAGCAGCCGGAAGATCAGAATTCAGATCAGGGCCCCAGCGAGATGGACGAGGGCCTGTGAATCGAGAACTACAAGGATCTGCAGATTATCCCTTGACTTCCGAGGACCTGAACTTCTTCTACATGAAACCTGGACGTCAGAAACGCCTTTTGGGTTCAGTTCGTGCTCTACGGCGAATCTGGATGGTTGAGCAGTCCATCTACGAGAACCTGGTGAACTGGTGAACACCAATCGGAAGCTCAGGAGATGCAAAGCAGATCTGGTCGAAGTGTTTGGAGGGAATGCCAATATCACTGCCTGTGCTTTGGAATGGAATCTCAAAGCTTTGCAGCCCATTGATCGAGTGCATGGCATCAACTTGGACACGAAGGCAGACTATGTATGGGTTCGAAATGCTCTCAACAAATGGTCACCTTTGTTGACTCTGATTGAACCAGAATGTCGGCTGTGGTCACCTTTGACGAACATGAACTATTACTGGAGACCGGAGGAACTCCAGCAGCTGCGACTTGATGCTCAGGTCGCTGTCGAAGGTGTGGCCGAC